TGCAGTAAATAAAATAGCAAAATTATCAAAATCATTCTTAGTTAAAAACAAGTAAATAGTGGGAAAAGAAACGAACTTTACATGAAAGTAAATTGTTTAACTAGCTAATTCTTAAAACCTATATATATATATATATATATATATATATATATATTCTTTGCATCAAACATTTTTAAGTATTGTATCTATATGTTACTTTCCCGTGTCCTGTCAAACACCCGAAGTGGCAACATATATAATCTGTATTGTTACTTCCCTAGATGTATTTTGGAGAACGTTTGAAATGCTTGCAAGAAATATATCTTTTGTTCTTAGGTGTTTCATGAAGGCTTGGTAGCCTATAACTGTAAACCCATCAAAAGTATTAGATTACGATTTTACATTTAAAGCAAGCATCTACTCGAGTGTCGTAGTACGTTTTACAAATATTGTGTTTGCATGCAGGCCAAGAAGCTGTTTCAGATAGTGCACATACGGTCGTCAATTGCCTCATCGATCTTATTCAATACCCTCATACGATGGTAATAAAAATTCTTTTCAAAGAAAACACACACATATATATATATATATGTTTATCTATCTTGTGCTCCTTAGTACGCATTGTTATTCTATGGAATAACATTCAGAATGAGAAGGAAATAGGTGGACTATCGATACTTGCAATGCCATTGTATATAATTTCCTATTCATCTACCTTGAAATTGTCTTTTCTAATTCTATTTCCATTTAATGCGTATAATACTGATGTATACTGTTGTTTTTGAAAATGTTTTTTTTTCTTTCTCGGCTTCTTAAGCTTGTTCGTGAGACAGCCCTGCAGTGTCTTGTTGCTGTTTCTAGACTATCCCATTCAAGGATTTATCCGATGAGAACACAGGCACGTCAACCATTATCGAGACTTTTCTGTGCATGTAGATAGATGCTCACTGCTCCCCCCCCCCCCCCTTTTGTATTTGCATTTAAATTTGTGTCTTTGTTGTTTATCAGGTAATACGAGCTGTAATAAAGGCTCTCAATGATCCCAAGAGAGCCGTTCGTCAAGAAGCTGTCCGATGCAGGCTAGCATGGTCAGTGTGCTAGGGTTGTCTTTTCTTCACTCTGCACAACTTTTCACTTTTACTATTTGAAGCTCATCACTATTGTTTTCTTATTTATGAAAAAACAGGGCATCAATTGCATAAAGAAGGCTACATTTCTAATTTCTTCCATGGCAACCGAGGTATAGTAGATGTTGCTACATATTCTTTATGATGATTAGGCATAGTTTTAAAAAACTGTCAACATTTTAACATTTACAGTTCAGTGGTAATTATTTTGAAAGTGTAGGGCTGTATATGAATCAAGCTTAACCTAATAGACTTTTGTTTATGTTCGTTTATTTTCAAGCATGCTATTTTTTTTTGCATGAGATAATTATAAAGCAGTATCTCTTCGAAATCTTAATCATTTATAATGCACACAATCTACAAACGCAGTTGTTCAAACTCGATACGTTTATAGCTTGAAAGACATATGCCTATGGTGAAAATCATGTAGCTTCCACTAATTTGAAATTTAATCTGAAAAAAAAATATGGATTCACACAGCTGTAAATCTTAATAAAGATATGGAATTGTTAGGTTTGAAGGTTTTGCTTTGACTAATTGAGACTGATTCGCGTCATATATTTAATTTTGGTGGGTGTCTTGTAGCAGGGTTTTTTACATATATAAAGATTGGAACTCGAAACATTGCTTAAGTCATATCAAACTATTTACCACTTGATAGGGATTTTGAAATAATATAAATGTCTACTAGTGCTTTAATTATATCAAAAAGTAAATGATGGATTTAATATTTTCAAAAACAATGGGAGTCTCTAAAAATATTAAGGGTAAAGTACATCAAAAGTCATTAAATGTTAAAATATTTTTTTTGTCATCAAACTTTTAAATATTATAAAATGTTTATTAAACTTATTGAATTGTTATAGAATGGTCTCTACGATATTATAAAATCATAATAAATTTGATAAATTTATTAATTATTTTATAATAGTTTGATAAACTTAATAATCATTGTATAATATTTCAAAGTTTATTAATAAAAAATATCATTTTTACATTATTCCAAATTTTAAAGGTGGATAATCTATTGAGCTATCTCAGTGACAAAAGAGTGTTATTATCTTTAGAGGTTACAAGTTCTAACGGTTATATTTATAGAATGTATATACATTATCGACAACTATAAAAATTTTAAACATATATTATATTATAATTTCTCCATACTAATTAAAAAATAAATTAAAGGGGGAGACCAAGACTTTGAGTCACGTGTGATGGCTGCCAATCACGTGATATCAGTTTGCACGTGCTACCATGTTAGTTATTCTTAACAAAGGAATATTGCTCGTGTGGGAGGGTAGGAGAAGCATAAAATGGAAAGTGGTCCCCACTGCCAAAACTCAATTAATGCATGCCACGTGGACTATGGCCCCACCCTCACAGTTTATTTAAAACTTTAGAAAAAGATAATCACATGATCGCTGACACCTCCAACTCTTTTGTCACGTGCTAAGTGGGTCCAACTCACCCTCTTAAAAGATATTAATTACATTAATCAAAAGATATTTCTTTCTGAACTTTCAAAGAAAATAACAAAATGAGATTTTTTTTACTTGATCTTTTTACCCGAATATTATGCATCTAAATGATTGAAAGATGAAATGGTAATTAACTTTAAATAATATAATTGAAGGATTAAGTTTATTAGAGTAGATTAAAATTAAAATCAAATTAAAAGAATATGTATATAATAATAAGTGACTGTTTTATTAATTATCATATTAATTTTTTTATAAAATGTTAACAAAAATAATTTAATTAATATTATTTAAATAGTTAAATGATCTGATTTGATTTAAATTGAAAATATCTTATCTAACTCGACTTTGAATAGAATCTAATTTTAATCTTATTTTCTTAAATGACTTAAATTTGGAAAAGAATATTAATATTGTAGCAATTAGGATAAAATTTATATGTTTTCTCCACAAGGTCAATAACTAATAATTAAAAGGGGTGGGTTTTAAGTAAGGGCAATTAAAAGCTCCCATGGAGGGAATAGATGTGTTTGGCCGACATAACTGTTACCCTTTTATGTTACAGCTGCCTCCATCATGGTTAGCTACACCTTACACCTTGTTGCATCTAATATTATTTATTGTAAAATGTTTTATAAAAAATATTTTTCAGAAAATATAATTTATTTTATGAAAAATATTTTTTGAAAAATGTTTTCAGTAAACAAACGGACCATAATTTTCAAATATAAAAAATGGAGTTGAGTTTCAATTTTATACCGATTAATCTCTCCAATGGACATATTAAGTAATTTTTAAATTTATTAACTAAATTCATTAGTAAATATAAATTTTTGTTCTTAGATCTAAATTTGTGTAGTTGCGTTTATAAGATGTATGCGCATTATCAACAATTAAAAAAATTTAAAACATATATTATCTTACAAATACTCTAAACAATTAAAAAAATATATTAACAGAAAGTTTTTAATATTGTTTTTATATTTACCAGACGTGAAATGTTTATTGGCTTATATTTTGTTAATTAGTTATATTATATGTAATATCTATACGTAGAAAATGAATTATATATATGTAAATTTATAATTTAATTGATATCAAAATACATATTTTTTAAAAATATGTAAAACTAACTAGAACATTAATTAAGTCTCCATTTTGAAATTTTTAAAAAAATTAATCACTTATCTATTAACCGACTAATCCAGATCGGATTTTACATAGGCCTATTATGGGGCAACCCTCCCAATCAAATTTACTTCATACACAGATGCCAAGATTCGAACTCCTGACCATGCTTTAGAAATCTAGTGTCTCATCCCACTTGATCAATTAATTGTTGTTGATATATTAACTAACTTTTAATTATTTTTAGAACACCAACAAAATCTTATTTCAAAGTAGTATGTGTTGAATTTTAAACATGGATAAATTTGTTTATTTACATATCAAATTATTCAAACTTAAGATACTTGGAAAGAACAATATTCTCTTTACTAATAGAAATATAGAATCTTTCATCGGAAAAAAACCTATTAATTTTTTTTCCTTTTACTATTTAACAATGAATGTTCAATCATCATGTTACAGTCACTGATACTCAAATTCATGGTCTCTAGGAACAACAACGATTCTTTTAACCACCAAAGTAAGTTAATTCGTGCTATTAATTTCTTAAATTACTTAGAAATGAAATGGTTTAATTGTTATAATATTTTTTTAAGAAGTTATAAGTACAATCAAAGTTGATACATCTGAAAAAATACAATATAAACCAATCATTATAATATGCTATCCGATTGATAATTGAAATATACTCAAATCTAGATTAAAATTAATTTAGACAAAGATCAGGCATACTAAACCTTAAATTATACTACTAATAAATTTAGAAGAAGAAGAAGAAGAAGAAACACACGTAACAAAAAATTCAAGGACTTACAATTTCCCCACCCATATCATCAACAAACTACAATAAAAACAATATTAAGAAAACCCCAAAACAATATATATATATATATATATATATTATATAATCAAATCTTTTAATCATTAGGTAATAAGTAACTTAGTTCGTGGTAATCTTTCGATTAATATGAGATAATTATAATATAATATCTATTTAAATATAACTTTCAATCATTTGACATTTAAAGCTCATACCCTCAACATTTTTAGTGTTCGAACTTAGTACATCAAGGAATGACAACAATTTCTTTACAATCAATATCACTCGATCGATGATCTTTACTATTATTAAATTAGTGTAATATAATATGCTTTGCATGTAAAGAAAGATGCTCCCATTTCCAAATATTTACATTTACGCCATTCACCTTCACTCCTCAAAACCCCACCCTTTCTCCCTTCATTCTTCACACACACTCTCTCTCTCTCTCTCTCTCACACACACACACACAGAGACTCTCAAAGCCCCAAAGCTTTGTCTCTCTAAAATACCATTTCCAATTTCATTTATATATATATCGTGAATAGGAAGTGGAACATTGTAAAGGCTCAAATGCAGGCAGGAGACTTCTTCGTCGGAGGTTATTACGGCGGTTCATCAACCGGAGATTTCTCACCGGAGGTTATTATGACGGTGGAGCAAAAGCTGGGGAAGAATTTCACCGTCGAAGATCTCCTTGACTTCTCTAACAAAGAAGCCGTTATCGGTGACGGTTTCTTCGACAATGTCGCCGGTAATTCCGCTGACTCTTCCACCGTCACCCGCAATCCCTCCGTATTCGGCAGCGAAAGCCACTTCTCTGAAGCTAATTTCACTCACTCCTCTCAGTTCTCCGGCGAACTCTGCGTCCCGGTAATAATTTAATTTATTTCTCTAATTTTGCATGGTAAAGCTAAAACTATAAATTTACCATTTACGTGAAGTTAACGTTATTTTAATCTTTTAATTTCCGTAAAAATGGAATTCTAAACGGTCAAAATTTGATATCAATCCATATAGTTTTGTAACATTTAAGATTTAGTCTCTATAGTTTACTTAAAATGTGAAAAATTAAATCCTTTTACCTTTTAAAATTTAAAATTTAGCCCAATATTGATACCATTAATCCTCAAAGGTTGCCATCAACGTATTCATAAAATCTTACTAGTTTCTAAACGAATCAATATAAACACAGTAAATAACTTAATAATAAGTAAAATTTGGAGTCTAATGTTAATGATATTAATGGTTGGAGTAGTTTTTTTAAAATAAATAAAATTATTTATTTTGTTAACTTATTATGTAAAATAGTCATCTATATTATATATATGTATGACTTAGTTGTAGAAAATAATTAATAAATTTGTTTTTTTACAGTATGATGATTTGACTGAACTTGAATGGCTCACAAATTTCGTTGATGATTCGTTCTCGACGGACCCCATTTTCGCAAAATTACCCACACCTGAATCCTCCTCTTCTTCAGCGCGATCCGATTCCTTATCTCGAAGCTCCATTGATCCGATTTTCCAACATGGGGCTCCGCTTCCAGGGAAGGCCCGGTCCAAACGTCCGCAGGCCGCACCGTGCGATTGGTCCACTCGAGTCCTTCAGCTCAACCCAAACCCCACGGGTCAAAAGAAAAGAGAGAGTGCAAAAGCTAGTTCGGAGTCATCATGGGGTCGGAAATGTTTACATTGTGCTTCGGATAAGACCCCGCAATGGAGGACCGGGCCGATGGGTCCAAAAACGCTATGTAACGCGTGTGGGGTGAGGTACAAATCGGGCCGGTTGGTACCCGAATACCGACCCGCTGCGAGTCCGACGTTCTTGTCGACGAAGCATTCGAATTCACATAGGAAAGTTTTGGAGATTAGGAGGCAAAAGGAAATGCAAAGAGCACAACATCAACACTTTCTTGGTCAAACTTCGGTGTTCGACATATCCAACGGTGGTGATGATCTTTTGATCCATCATCATGGAGGGCCACGATTTAGTTGGAATTTCAAATAAAATAGATATTAAACTAAATCTTAAAAAAAAGAATAGTAGTTGTTTTTAACACATATAATATTTAATATAAGTGATTAAGACACTATTTAATTACAAATCTGTGTTAAAATGTATGCCATTAATAAATATAATATTAGTATTTAAATTTTAAGCATTGTTATTACTTTTTGTTTCAAAAAATATAATCATAAAAGAGACATTTTCATAATTTTCAAGCCCAGTTGATAGGTTTTAGAATTGGTTTCTTAAATTTCCATGAATAGGCATTGTATGTATATTTGAAATGTTAATTAATGTTTATATAGATACTCAATGAATTTCCGATTTTATTTATGAAGTTAAAAATCATCAAGTCGTTTAAATAATTATTTTACAATTAATATACATTTTAATCATGCTCATAAATAAATCTATTCATAAATAACTTAATCTACATTTGATTTAAGATAATCTACTTCTAGACCAATGGGCACAAAATAGTAAAATTATCAAATGTAATTAATATATATATATATATATATATATATATATTATAAACTAATACGTAATGTTAGCGTGATATTTTAACGACAAATCAAATTATAAGGCGTAATATTTAATACTGTTAATATTTCAATCGATCAATATCATATTAATAATCTTATTACTTGTTAAAATATCAAATCAATTTATTTATTTTTATTTAAAAAACCAAGTTGAGAAATGTTACTACTTATAAATTAACCTAAAAAAGTATGTAATAAATATAGCAAATGGGTGCAATCACAATTTGATGGAGCCAATGGGTTCATTAAAAAAAAGATGTTTTGTCCATACCTAAGATGCATATTTGCACATGGTAGGGGAAATGGATGCTTAATATTCAAGAAAGAGATATAAGAAAAGAGAAACAAAAATAAATTGTGATAAGCACAGCCACATAAATTCCTTTTTATTAAAAAATAGTGAAACAATTGAATAATAATTTAAGTCAAATTGAATCATTTAAGACACGTGTCAATTTTTTAATCAAAATTTGATATAAATAAATAAATTGATAAATATTAAAAGTACAAATAAATTTTTGTAAAATGTGTATTTATATTCATGAAGTTTTCATTTAATTTAATTTTCATAAATAATTAAAATTATTATGAACGGAACATCATTTTATGTTTACATGTTATATACACAAATAATTATATTTATCTAATATAGAAATAGATAAATATGCAATGAAATAATCTAAGCGAAGCAATAAGAAGAACAAAAATAACAAGAGAAACATGAATAAGGGAGAGAAATGTATTATTATCTCAATATGATTTGTTTACAATGTTTTCTCTTAACTCCATATTTATAAGCATAAGGAGTATATCTCAGATAGAACTCTAACTCTAATTGTTAATAAAGTCCTAATAATAAAACATATCAAAACCCTATCTTATAGATACATATAAAAGATAGAGATAAACAACCACATAAATAAATATTCATAGCACTCCCCTTGGATGTCAATGAAGATAATGTGTCTCGTTAAAAACCTTATTAAGATAAAAACCCTATGGGAAAAAAATCTTAATGAAGGAAAAGGGTACACATATCTTTAATACATATAACATGTTGCCTCATTAAAAACCTTACTAGGAAAACCCAGTGGGACAAAACCTTGGTTAAGGGAAAAGGAGTACAACACATATTTACTCCCCCTCATGATATTATCATATAAGATCTTTGAGTATTACAACTTAATCTTGAATACAATCTTCAAATGTTCAAGTAAACAATGCATCAATGAATAGATCTTTTCAGATCATCACTTGAACATATTCGTCAAATATTTACATTACTCTTCTTTTGAAGATCACGAGGGAGGAAACTTAAGAAAAATATGTTTCCTTTGATATATCATCTTTTCAATTGATCTAATTTAAGTACTCGATCTACAAGTCGAGATAAAGCTTGATTTCAAGATTGTTTATCTCAAATATTCTTTTAAACAAGCAAGATACTTTTGAAACTCTTCAGAAATTATATTTTAAAGCTCTTCAAGAGTTTTAATGCAAAATATACAAATATTATAATTTGACCTTGATGTCTTTATAAAGACATATGAGCGAGTAGGCTCTCATCAATTCAAATATATCATACACATTCAGATTGATTAATTCCATCTAAATATTTAAGCAAATATATTTGCACAAATTTCCTAGGAATTTATAAATGCTTCTAGTATTTTAATCCTTCAGGGATAAACATCATTATATATTGATCCACAAACCAATAGACGCACTATAAAATTTTCATAACTGCCATAGTAATAAAGTAATTGCATCCACCACGAATTTAAAGTCTTTATGATTCAAGTTGTATTTATATATCTTTCGACTACTCATTTATACCTTACTTGCATTACACCTTTTGCAGGTGTTTGGACTATTTGTTCATGTTTTGGAAGTTGATTTAACTTCACTTGAATAACGTCTGTTCACGTATCTCAAATTATTTTCACATCTATACTTCTGGATAAATTACAATTCAAGATCCTTATTTCTTTACTTCTATAGAAATATTATTTGTAAAATCGTTGTAAACAACTTTTCTATTTTTTTTTGTTCCATCCTTTTCTCGTAATGACATAACTTATCGAGATCTCTTCAATATTTTAATTTTTAATTTTCACGTACCTGAAACTCTTCTAGAGTTGTATTATTAGTTATGCCTTGGGTTTCTTCAGGAGTACCCGCCTCCGCTATATGACCATCTTATATTACTTTTCATTTACAAGAACTTTAATCGTCGGAACTATTATGCTTCGGGTATGGTTTATATTCTTTTGCTCTAACATGTTATCCTTCTAAGATTTCAATTCAAATTTAGAGCATTTTCAGCTAGTATATGAGACTTGATTACTCTCATTAGATCATTAAATAATTATGGCAGTTAAGTTGTTATGAATTATCTTATGAACTTCTGGTTCACATCACTATGTACAAGGATATAAATAAAATTCATTTATATTTTCATCTAGCTGATTCTTCTCTCCCCTGATGAAAAATAATTGAATCTCAAAGCATTCAATAAAGTGAGACTCATTCTAGAACTTGTTGGCTTGATGAGTAGTAGTTCTATGCGTGGATTACTATATAGATACTAGAATTTTTGTTCTCATAGTTTAGTTATTAAAAGGAGGCAATAACATATTTAAACTGTTTATTCATAAACTATAGGCTTTGTAACAATTATTTTCAACTGATGTACAATATGATCTTTACAAGCCTGAGTATAAACTCACCAAGTTTAGCAAGACAAATAGTCTTGATTGCATAATCTTAAATATTTCATTTTCTAATCTAGTAAATAATCTCATAAAAATATAAGTTGTGAGTTGATAACATACATATGATTTATCTCATAGATGCATCCACAAAATATTCTACTTTGTGGATAAATGGGCCATATTTCAATCAGATATGCAAGATATTCAGTCTCAACTTTAAATAGTGATGTTCTAAATTACTTTTGAGAACAAATAATACAAGAAATTTAGGTTCTTTTAATTTATATAAATCTCAACAATTTTCACGTCATTATTGATTGAGATGATCTAGCCAATCATGCGAACTAATTAAAATTTTAAACTTTTAAACTTCTAGTTTACCATAAAATATGATTCAATCTCATTCATAACTTGTAAATTTCTAGTTTATAAAATACATGTAGCACAAATAAAAGAAAATTAAACAAACATAAGTTTTCTCAAAACTTGAAAGTGTATTATCCGTCTTAAAATTGTCTATTCAAATAGAAATACATTTAGCTCTTTTGGAGCTTTCAATAAACTTTGTACTACAAATATTAATATCGATTTACTATGCAAAATATGACAAATAAATATAAACCATGGTAAGAATACTTGGAGGTTGTTAATGTCGTCATCGTCATGGTTGTTCTCACGTTTACCATCATAAGCATTGAAACAATTTTCTTTTCATGGTAAAACCATTACCACAAATCAAAATTCACAAGCAATAGAAAATAGTATTTACTAATCAACATTTACATTTTACCTTTTATTATCTATGTCAAGAACTCTAATTAAGTTAGAATTATAATGTCATAATCACCTTCACCATTCTTAGAAATAAAAGTTGTTTCCATTTTCTTTTCTTTATTATTTAATAATTATTGATAAAGATCTACGTGATGCTTTGGCATACTACAAAAAAAAACCCAAAAGATTTATCATAACAGAAAGAGTTTATTTTTATAATCGGATTGACACTTTTTTCATTTTTTTATAATCTCACTTCTGATGGGTGTAAGTATTCATAAAATGACCACATCTTTCACTTCCTTAATTGTGACCATGACTGTGGTTACATTTATTACGATCATGATTGCTAAGGTGATCTTTATTTATTTTTATTATAAGATGTCACATTTACTTCAAGGAATGGACTAGAGCTACTAGAACAAGAGTACATTAAAAAATGGAGTACAATATATCGATTATTTTTCTTAAGAATTCGAAGAAAAAATACTTAATGTAAAGGGAAAGAAAAATAAAATTACATTTATTCATTGAGACCCAACGATCAAGTTATCACTTAAAATTCATTCGTAATATCAATTCTTTGATTCACACTCACAATCATTATTTATATAGCTATCACATTCTTGATTGAAGTCGCAAACAGAATAAGACTTGAAAAATAAACATTCTTGATTGAAGTTTAATAATTCGACTCGTTGTAACAGGTAAGATAGGAAAATCCAATCATAAACCTGATTACATGCTAATCACTAGATCTCATCAGTAAAGTAAACAGAAAGTTTGCTATCAATCACATTCATCTTTTTTTGTTTAAAAAAAATGTTCATAGTATCATATCACAAGTAATTTTATAAGGAAAAATGGACAATAGTAATTTTCTTTATCAAATATTGGAACATTAAAGCAATGGCTGGACGATACAAGTCAATAGCTTTACGAGAAAAAATAATATCTGGAAATTAGT